ACGGTCATGATTCGTCAATATATATGCAACAAATTACATGCACAATCTTACGGGTTAAGCTCTATGATTTAGATAACTATGATCTAGGGTTCACTCATCAGGGGTTGGGGTATAGTATCATGCCCACAAATCCGGTTAATTCGTGGTCCAGATAGCATTTTCTTACTTAGAGTATAATATCATGCTTAGATATTGACAATAGATGTGGCATTACACCAACAAAATGAAGATATTAGTATAAGTAATGGAATTTTTATCCCAAAACAAATACCAAAGATAAATAAATTTTAGCAAATGCATATTTGATAAGTTAGAAAATTATACACCAATGGACCATGTTAACATTAGAACCCTCGAAATTTTGTGCGTACCTTGGACCGAGTTTTCAAACATGAGTTGAGGGTGAGTCTAAATTAAACTTCGGGAATTAAAAATTGGTACATATTGTATAAGATATTAAATTGAGTATCTTGATCGACAAATATGATCTTACACTAAGACAGTAAACTTTCAATTGGGATGACCAAATTTATCTAATATTGAAGTACCTTAATAAAAAAAATTCTAACTAAGTTGTCGTCATCTGAGCAATATCATTGGCTGAGAGTTCGTCCAAACTCGAGATTCATTGAATGGCAAATATTGTATAAGATAAAAAAAAAATTTGAGTATCATTGTTGACAAATCTTGACATAAGATTCTATATGGGACGTGATATATCTTTGTGACATGATTTATGATCAGAGAATCGAAGCATCATAAGTGAATGTGCTAAGTATTGAAAATTTTTAATTTATAGACGCACCGCATACTCATGTATGAATGCAAATGTAAAAAATTTAGAAGATCCAAAATAGTTTAAACATATAGATAAATTGATTAATGTAAATCATAAAATGAAACTCACCGGCCAACGGGCCGGGTAAAAAGCTAGTTAACATATAAGATGAAAATCACATAAGATCTTAGGATTAAATTAATATCTAAGTCCTAAATATTATCATCCTCACCCTCACTCTCACTCTTATCCTCATAAAATCATTGTCTATTTGCTTGAGCAATAACATCATTATTCCCATATTCACTTGAAGTACTTTTAATGTCAACTGTATTTCCTTGATTGCCATCACCGACAAAGGTAACTCATTGGTTGATACATTCCCTCTTAATCGAATGAAGGTGGAGGATGTTGGTACTAAAGGATTGAGAGATGAACAAAATGTTGGGAGGGGATGGGGATCAGGCTTACTGGGAGTGTGATGGGGGAACAAACTAACAAGCTAATTGGAAGGGCGATCATGGAACTCGTTGATGAAAGGAGTTGTGCATCGATGTTAGGAAAAGGAAGAGATGAGGAAGAGACGTAAATCAATTGAGAGTCGCCTTTCAGGTTAGGATTGTGTTTTCCATGTTGGGTTATGAGAAATGAACTTGACACGGATCGGGGACAAATCTGATGCCACCTGCCTGATTTTGCTCCAATTGACATGAACCTTGAAATCGTACAAAATCATATGAATTGTGGATTTTAAGGTCTTAAGTCGGAATGTTATGGAATTTGAAGGTTCAAATATTTAGTAGTAAAGTCAGGATCAGAACCCATAGGTAAGATCGTAAAATTGCAAGATTTTAAGAATAAAATCAACATTTTAACTACATTGGTTATGATTTATGTATGATATATAACAGAAAGAACAAAAGATGCATTGATATAAAGAGAAAATGTATCAAATATAGAAGTGATAAACACTATAAACACAGTGTCATCATAAATACCCCACACTTGAACTTTGCTTGTCTCCAAGCAAACACTACTCACAATCATACAACTCAATGAAAATCAACAACCATCACTTAACCATGATCTTAGGTAGTGGATCATAAGTGAACTTACAAGGTCGACAATAGCACGAGAGAATCCTAACCGTATCAACATGCAAGAACATCATGCATTTCAATCTAAGCATCAACCACTTATGCATTAGAGTAATAGGGTGAAGCATTTGATAAACACATACTCTTTTTCATTTTCCCAATTTTTCTTCATCAATTTTTTCTTTTTCTAAATTTTCTGGTATGGAGAGCTTTATATTTACTAGAGCCTTAAATGGTTATTGGTTGAGAAAGATCTAGAAACCTCTATACTTCAACTCTTGCGGAGGGTCAATGAAGTTAAGGGGTACCCGAAGTTCTATCCTTGCGCTTAAAAACACATCCTCAAGTTGGCTACCAACTCAACGGGTAAATATTTTACTTGTGCTAGAGAGAAACTGACATCACCTTGTAGGACTTCCCCACTAAAGATCAACTAGTATCTCGTCCAAAACCCAATTTTGTGCAATAAAAAGATGTCACATGCTTCTCTTCTTAATGTGAAGCAGATTCTTGAAAAGGTTTATCACTTTTCAACATCAGCTGTAACCCTAAAAGTGTGTGGTATTCTTTGGGGGAGTAGCCATGTTTACATTAAAAAATGCTCCCCGGGTTCAATGAAGGTATTCTTCCTGTTCGCTACTTTGAACTGCCACTATTCTCATGAAGCCTATCGAGTAGATAACTGGTAGGCTTCGTTCGTGGAGGGCTGATAAGCTCTCTTACACGGGTCGTCTTTAGCTCATCTTATCGGTTATCTACTCAATTGTTTAGTTCTGAATGTAATATCCTTATCTTGCATAGGAAGGTTCTTGACAGTATTCATAAGATATATACCGACTTCCTTTGGCGTGGAGATCGATAAGGGAAAGCCAAAGTCCCATGTGACCTGTGAACATTCCAAAAAAGGTAAGATGCTTAGGCATCAAAGACTTGTTTGTTTGGAATGTCACTTTCCTGGCTCTGGCTCACCTCCTTTGGATGATTTTTATGCGAGGGGAGCTTTTGTGTAGCTTGAATTGAAAGATTTTGTCTTAAAGGTCATTATCTCTGGACTATTTCTTCATCATTTATTTTCCCAATTTTTCTTCATCAATTTTTTCTTTTTCTAAATTTTCTGGTATGGAGAGCTCTATATTTACTAGAGCCTTAAATGGTTATTAGTTGAGAAATATCTAGAAACCTCTATTTTCCCAATTTTTCTTCATCAATTTTTTCTTTTTCTAAATTTTCTGGTATGGAGAGCTCTATATTTACTAGAGCCTTAAATGGTTATTAGTTGAGAAATATCTAGAAACCTCTATACTTCAACTCTTGTGGAGGGTCAATGAAGTTAAGGGGTACCCGAAGTTCTATCCTTGCACTTAAAAACACATCCTCAAGTTGGCTACCAACTCAACGGGTAATGCCCCGTTTAGTATTCATTCTGTTTTTTGATTTCTGGACAACATAAAAGGGAATCTAAAGAAAAGGAATCTGTTGTTTCCTGGAAAACAAAATCTGAAGAAAACTTGTTTAGCTGAGAATTTAGAAGGTTCTGAAACTGAAACCTGGAAATGAAAACCTGTTTAGATACAATTGTTACAAGCTGATATTTGTTCTCAAAGAGAATCTTGAGTTGAACCGACATCGTACACTTAAGTTTGTTTTACTCCCTGAGCGTGAACTTATTCGTCACATTATCGGTATTCGTCAAATAAGACATCTTCTTCGTAGTGAATCTTAATAAAATTATGTATCACATAAATTCGACATATTCAATCCAATCCATTAGACAAATAAACTTTTGTTCTAGAGGAATTCAAGTTATGGACACCATCATCACACAATTACAATTTAACTTACAATCTCTGTTACTTTTCAAAAGAAGAAGGGGTCTCATTAAGGTGGCCAAATGGAAAAATAAACAAAGTATCTATATAAAAAAAAACAAAGAAGAGGACAAAAGGAAAAAGAGTTCGACAGAGCCCAAATTTGCTCACCAATAGAAAGATGACGTTCTAATGTCCCTTAGTGACAACTCATCTAGGGAGGTATGTTCATCCCAAACACATAATTAATGCATGACTATCATTCTCAATAGAATCACAACTAGAGATAAGCTCAAAACATGGGATAAAATCTCTGATTCAACTTGCATGTTGTGTAACTCTGTTGAGGAAAGTTGTGATCATTTATTTGGTCAACGCTTGTTTGCTTGCAACTCTGCTGAGGAAAGTCGTGATCATTTATTTGACAATGCTTGTTTGCTTGTAACTTTCTTTGATGTTGTTTCTGGGTTGTTGATAACAACATGACCATGCTCATAGGAGGTCAAAATCAATGAGGCATATGTTGCTGCAAAATCTAGTGGTCCATTTTTCTAGAATTTGTAATTCCATCTAGTGTTTGGTTGTGTACTTCTTATGGAAAGGAGCGCGCAACCGATTTTTTGGAGGTCCTAGTCTTGATTGGCATGCTGTGTTTTGGCAGTTCAAAGAGGAAATTTTACTTGTGTCCATGGGTAACACGGACTTTTGTACAGATCTTACTAGCTTAGCCGCTTTTCGATATTTGATTTGCACCGACCTGTAGTCATCTTGTTAGTAGTGTATTCCCCGGCTTGGTTTTTTCTGGACGCTTGATCAGGAGAGCTGAAACTAGATTGTTTATTACAGAAAAATTTAATAAATATTCATGTGTCATATTCAAACATTTTACTTTGTGTCACCACACATTGCTAAAAACTTTCAATCTCAACAATAAATGTGTCACGTCAGGGTCAACTGTTTGACTGGATGAATAGTTAACGATTAGGATATTTTTTTTGGTAAATGGATTGATTATTATTTTGTTTAAATTCAAATTTCGATATTGCGCGATTTTAATACAAATATATATCACCATATCTTATGCCGGTTGATACCAAATAGTTTGGTTTTTTTACAAAGAACTATGAAGGATATATTTATAAGTAAGTAGTAACACAACCAAAATTGATTCATGTACGGAGTACATAATTATGTGTTCTTTTCTTGTCTCAAGGGAAGGGGCAAAATATCATCTCAAAAGAAAAAGGGGGGGAAAAGGAAGGAAGGGGCAGAATGGGATGAAAAGAAAGACTAGGCCAAACGATTTCAAATGGGAGTTCAAACGGCTCGTTGAAACTCAAAGATTTCAACTCTCAAGTTGCCGTCATCCTCTCCGGGAAGCGTGAATTTCACCCTGCTACTATCCGGCCCTCTCGACCCGCTGCGACTACTGCTCTTCCGCAGACACGGCTTCAGCATTTTCGATCCTGAAGAAGAAGAAAAAGAAGAACAATCCAGCTCAGCACCACACCCGCCTCCGCCGCAGACTCGTCGGAACGAATCGATGTCGATCGAGAACGACGAATCTCCACGGCTCTCCACCGGCTCGCTCGACTCGTCATCCTTCTTGTAGTAGCTCAACGCCGTTGCCGGCCGCCAGATCTGAGGCGAATCGGCGCCGATGATCTCCGTGCGGCCCCCGACCAAGCAGTTGGGGAAAATCGGGTCCCGCAACTCGCCGTACCGGCAATCGACCTTCAATCTCTCGGATCTGTGCTTGACGAGCCGATCGAAACCGATCATCTCCGTGGAACAATCCGTAGATCCCCTTCGCCGCGAGATTCGTCGAGTGCTGCTTGAGTAAGCGGTCGATGGTGTGGTAAGGGACGACGTAGAAGACGCAGCCGAGCTTGAGGAGGGAGTCCGGGTGGACCGCGATCCAGGGGTTCTTGAAAACGTCGGGTCGGGTCACGCAGTGGCGCGGGTACCGCTTCATGACCTCGGAGGCCCGGGTCGGGCGGGTGAGCCGCTCCACGATGCCCTTGGGGTGGACCAGCTTGATGAATGCCGCCGCCTTCCGCCGCTCGTCCTTTTCGGCCGACATTAACGGAGGAGAGCTTCTGATCTGGTTTTACCCCCACAAAAGCAGCCTGGAGATCGATTAGACGAGACACCGTCGCAGGCTTCCTCGCTTAAATAAATCAATCAATGAGTTGGGGCAAATTGCTAGCGGAGATTGGGAGGGAGAAAGCGTGGAGATTATCAATTCCTCTCCGATGGATGCTGTTCGAGGTGGATGGATAGAAATCCATGCCATCGGGGATACACTTCGTTTATTTCATTGGCATTTGTTTGTTTGTCTTTTGTAGGGAATATTGATCTCGACCGATACTACTGATGCACAAGGCTGCCGGCTTCTGGTTTTTTTTTTTTTTTTATTCCGAGAAGAAACGAAACAACCTTATTAGTTTCGCTTGGTTTCCAGTTCGGAATCTCCTAAATTGGTGACGCGGCGGCGAGTTTGGTATCCAACAGCCTCGGACCGCCGGCGGCCAAGTATCAATCTCACCTCCAAACACAATAATCGATCAATGAGGATGGCTATTTCTGGATTAGTATTAGTAGTAGCAGTAGTAGACTAGTAGTATTCTGTTGTTTTAATAAGAATTAAAGTGCTTCCAAAATTTTCTTCTTCCAAAATTAATTTACACAATCTGTTGGAGAATGTTTCATTTTACTAGGTGGCAAGGAGCCCAATTTTGGGTTATTGGTGGTTGAGCGCGGAGGTGGCACATGTTAGTGGGTCATTACCGTATCGAAAAAGTTATTGGTAAGGTATTTTATTGCAAAATTATGATTTAATCGTAGTTCAACCGTTAGTATCGTTAAATACCGTCTAGCGATTTAGCCTCCAATACTGATATTTTATAGTAGAACCGTTGATATGGTACGATATCATAAACCATGATAAAATGGTCCTGAGGCTGAGGTAAAATCGCCTAAACCGGTTTTCCGGATACCTGTGTTGGAAAATAAGAATGGTGAGCCTAGAGAGTGGGGGAAGAGGAACCTCAAAGTTGAGAGGGAAGACAAGAAGAATGTTGACAACAAAGGTTGTCAAACCGGTTTATACCGTTGTGCCGGTTTGACAAGTGGAATGGTACGACCGGTGGTATAACCAATTTGTGCCGGTTCATGCCGGTTTAAAAAAATGTGAAAACAATTAATATCCAATGTATTTAATCATATATAAAATATATTTGTGGACAATTTAGTTACAATCAAACAAATATCATCAACTTTTAACTATCACATTCATAAAATGAATAAAAATTAATTTTTTTATTCATTAAATTCATTAAAATGATGTCATTTTACTTAAAATACGTAAGTCGATCATACCGGTGGTGTCATGCCGGTTTCATGACCGGCACAGGTTGAACAAGGTTCAGCGATTAGTCATACGAAATGGAAAAGGCGAAAATATGTAAGAAGTGGGTCCATTGAGATTAGTCATAGACTCATTTGAATAAAATTATGTGTAATGTCTATTTTTTATCCAAACTTTTTTCAGATTTTTTTATATTATCCAAACCTATTAAAATGCTATTAATTAGCCAAATCTTTCGTAATGCATCAAAATATTAGTCATTTTTACATTATCGTTAATAATTTTGTAACTCTTTTCTTAGTTAAAATGATAAAATTGTGAAATGTTGACCTTCATGTGTCTCTTTCAAGTTGTTCAAGTCCGTATCAAGTTGCCAAGTCAATATTATTAACAAAATTGCTAAATGAAAATTAACATTTGGCTAATTCTTAGTATTTCGATAATTTTAGCTAATAAAAAAGAATCCGAAAAATGTTTGGCTAATAAATAGTCATTACCCTAAAATTACCCTAAAATTATATGATTTCACAAAAAACCGTTTGGAAACCGCAAACAATCTACTTATTTGTTCACTGTATTTAGCTAATTTTTGTTGTGTTGCTAAATCTTATTGCCAATATAACCGATATAAACATAACTAAAAATATTTTCCGTCTCAGAAAACAGAAATTGAAAATATACTAAACACAGCCTTATGCAAAATAGAATCCATCAAAAAAAACTTTCCCTCCAGGGCTACTAGCAGGTGAAGTTACCTAAAAAACACATACAAGGAACGAAACATTAGGAGCAGATAAGAGTATGTGAATGACTGCAAGCTCAAGCTAGATGCGAGGTCTTGGGACAACGTCCAGTTGTCCAACAAGTGCATTATGCTTTAGGTTTGTTATGCAGCAGGTAAATGCAGAAAATTAGAAGTAATGCCAGCTAGAAACTACAATTTTACTGATCTCCCTTAGAAGTAATGCCAGCTAGAAACTACAATTTTACTGATCTCCCATATAATATGATATGACAGAAGCTTACCATACCTACCATTGACTATAGCTTGCCATTTTTATTTGATCCGTCCAAGAATGATTAATGGAGTCTGTGTTCTCTTGCTGGTTTCAGTGCACTTACCTAAGAGTCCATCCTATGAAAAGGGGAAGGAAGAGACGAAAACGAAAACCTCAGTCAGAAGATGCTTACCTCAACAAGCAATTCAGAACGTCATATCCCAGGAGTATCTGCTTCCACTGCTAATGACGGGGTCACTCCCTCCATAATGCTAAATTTGTGACTCCTTACATCCAGCAGAGAAGCCATCCTAAAGGAACTTGTCATTGATATAAAAGACACGACACTCCTATCTACAAGGTACAAAACTTTGATTCCGCTGTCACTGGTTTGCACCATATACATCAAATTATGAACATAACATTCTGATGTTAAGTGTGGCCTTGACTCTTGAGCGAAAGTGACCGCATCGACCTTATACATTGCTTCAGTACCAGAATTGTACAGAACATAACTCCTGGCATCAATTTACAGACATTCATACAGTTTTCATTTGCGTGGCCCTTTCTTCAAAAACTATATCCGAGACCCGTGATCATCGGATATCGTCTCTTCAGAAGATGCATCATCATCGATTGTGACAACATCATCTGTCTTATTAACATGGTACACTGAAGTCAAACTAGCTTTATTAACTCCATAACTTGTTGCCAATGGAACAGCAGAGCAGCAAGCACCTCCTGAAAGCTGTAGCTCACCTGGCATTTCATTTCTCACCCCAATATGTGTCTCAGAAGAATCTGAATATGGTCCAGTGATGTGTGTTACCCCAGGATGAGCAATGGATGAAATTACTTTGGTTGGAATTATTTCCATCAGCCTTGGAGGAGTGCTTACCACTTCCTTTAGCCAGTGGGGTAGATTACCTCTCGGGACCAAAGAAGTGAAAGGGCTACTAATTGGCAATGAGTTGCACCTCAGTTCACCTTTGCCATATATCTCTGCATGAATATCTGAACAGGGTGTAGCGCTTGGGTAACCCGGTACATAAACCTGCTCTTTCATTGCATGCCAATTGAATCGTGAAGCATGTTTGCCATCTAGTAATTTAATTTGTTCCTCCTCCCACTTGAGAGCAAGGTCCCTCAAAGTTCTAAATGGAGAAAACTGTAGTCTTGGGTCCCTTAAGATTGCAAGCCAATTGTCTCTGCCATGTCTTCTTACACCTATCCAAAGTGAATCCAATTCTTGGTCTGACCACAAAGTAGCATCTGGCCTGTCTTGAAAACCGCCCTGTGCATGCAAACGACTTGCTCTATTTGCAATCCTGTCCAGTAATATCCTTTGTCTAAGGAATGAACTTCCAACATTCGGGAAAGCTTCAGGCACTTCAGTGTGAGCAAATCTTATGTTTTCATCATTGGACTTCCAAGGAGGCAACTGGGGGCAGGGTGTCCCTGATGCATAGTCTCCCCATTTAGGGTCCATATGCAAGGATAAATCCAAATCCAATGAAAAACCGCTTGATATGGAAGAAGTTTGTGTATGTCCATTTTCTGCAGGAAGAACTTTCACTTCTTCCAGAATCATAGGTCCAGTAATTCCTTCTGGTTTAACACTTCCTAATGGGGAAGAATCTTTGCCTCTTTCTTCTGAAAACAGCTGGAGCAATTTGCATGGAAGAATGAGCGAACCAGTCAGATGTGAGTCGTAACATTTTCAGTACTGACTCTACGGGACCCCACAGTCTAACAGTCTAAAGTACCAAATAAAGGAGGTGTAGCCAAAACAGCACACACATACACTCACCTGAAGACAATTGTTTTTGGCCGCACCTTCTATAAAGAGAGGATAAGCTTCCCCTTCATCTTTTGAGTTTGGAACAATTTCCTGCATGGAAGTCGGCATGCCAATTGTAGTCGTGATTAGATGCACCTGATAAGAATCTCCAGCTCTCACATTTGAGCTTTCCACTGGTTCACTGTAAGAAACCTCATGAGCAACAGCAGCCTGGTCTATGCTCATGGACTCTTGAGAATCACGATGAGTTTCTGAAGCACCATTAGCAGCATCCTTCGAGATTTCCAAATCCACATTGAAGTTGGGTGTACAACCAGATTCTGTGATTGGTCATTGTTAGTAACTGGTACATATATATAAAAGAAACTTCAGATGTGTTCTATCAAGCAGTAGAAAGAAATAGTGGGAAAAGAAATAGTAAGCAAGCACATATAGCCTCTACTGGGAAGTGAAAGAATCATACTAGGAGCCTCGAGGAGATCTGGATACGGTTGTGTGCCATCTGTTCCAGAACCAGGCATGTTTTCTTTCTCAAGATTGCATGCAGAGACCTCAGGTTCCTCTTGACATTTATGGTTCTGTAACTGACCATCTAATACCGGAGAATCACAAGGATCTTTGATATCATCCTTCAGAACAATCCGTGAATAATCTTCAGCAGCGTCACTATTATCCATAGCAGTTTCAGAAATAGGGTGCAGCAAGTGGTCAGGCCCTGGAATGTCGTCCTTGCAAACACTTTCAGAATCACGCAATTCTTCTCCCTCTTTTACCAAACTGTTAAAATGTATAATCACCATCAAATTATTAAATTGTTCAAAGTAGAAATTTAACTAGCAATGGTATATCCAAGTAACATAAACATACTTCTCAGCCTCCAGGGCGGCTCTTTCCCATTTGTCAGCAGAATCAACTTTTATCTGTTAGTCCAAGGACATTAAAATTGAAATATATGAGAACTCTACACAGATTAGAATGCATTAACTATTATAATAATAGGATAATTTTACAATTAAGATTTAAGGGAATTTGGAGTGCAGCATGCAGTTTACTATCGATAGAGATAAGCACACACCATAATATTTTTATTTGAAATTATCACTTGTCAAAGCAAACACAATTCCAGATGGTCAAAAAACACAAAAAGCTCTCATACCTAAAAGGAAATAATACAGCAACTCCTGATCAGTATTGAAATGTTCAATACACCTAATTTTTCAAACCAAGCCGAGACTACTCACATGCTGAAAGGTATTCTTCAAAATATATATGCTATTACCAAAGGGAAATAAGTATAACGGTATATTCTCCTTAAGGTGGTTGTACACTATGACATACTTCAATAATTAGACGTTGTAACAACCTCATATTTCAAAACAAAATATATATGAAATCCAAGATCTCCACAGGGATGGTTTCATTAGCAGCTGGTAAGAAAACCCTGAAGCTCCACAAGTAGCCTGGCTACAGGTTTGCAGGGACAAGGCTGTGGTTATTATGCTTCACTAAGCTTACAGGCTTCGATTCAGGAGCAAACACGTCACTGTTATTGTCCACACCTATTTTGTCCAGAGTGCAGGAGTTTGATCCTCCCTTCACCTTAAACATCTAATTAGAGCTTTTTAGTCATCCAGAAAGCATACCAACAAAAAATTTGCTATGCTTCTGCACAAGCTTATTACCTTAACTCTTAAGCACAAATCTGTAGATAGCAAACAGTTGCAACTCAAATAGTTATGATTTTGACCATATTTCTATTCACAAACAAAATGCCAGGCTGAATGCAGATTCACAAGACAAGCTTGAAGCTGCGGGCAACATAATAAATTCTATCTTCCAGATTTATGCTCTAGTATCAGCAGAACAGTAAGTTCCCTATGGCCGCTATGGAATAGTAAGAATAAAATTCCCACTGATTGTAGGCTCCAATATTCATCACTTCAAAACCCGGAAATGGTAAGTTGCTTAGCTTATTGATCTTTAATAGAAGGGAATTGTGCAATGGTCAAGATACTAGAAACAATGACCAGATAAAATGGCTTTACTTGAAAAGCAGAAGGAAAACATACATGTATATCCAAATAAACAGAGTAATGTGGTCTTTCTCAAAGGATAGAGTGCATACTTCATCTTGACTCTGATGTGATGAAGTCCTCGTGTCTAGTTCTTCCTGCAGAAGCTTTTGGCTCGTTGAGGGACCAGTATAATAGTCTCTAGGAGAAGCTGCACTACAGGCAGATTTACTAAATTTTTCAAGGGACAGACCATATTCCTGGAGGTCACTTTCTTTTGTATCAGTCATTGTAATTTTAGTTTTCTTTTTACATCTCCGACTAAAAGTCATAAGAGATTTTGACTTTGATTCCCCAAGAAAATGGCAAGGTAATCTACAGGATAGATCAGTAGAGATTGAACCATTGCCTGCAGCGTTTGATGCCTCCTTGATACTTGAATTTGTTTCATATTCAACATTGCAGTTTCTCCCATTTGATGATTGAGGGGTGTAAGAGCTCTTCTCAAATGACTCTAAGCACCGTGAAGTTTCCATGCCAAAGCCACCATTATCAGGAATTACTGACTTCAGATTTATACCAGATTCACTAAGGTCGCCAACTGCATATTCATTGGGTCCACGGAAGGACTCGTTTCCTGAAGAACCTTGCTGCTCACACCTACAGCTCAACTTTTCTCCATTGTGTATATGCTTCGGCTGTGGCCATCGGGAAGAGGATGGAAAAGGTCAATAGAGGGCTGTGAGGATCAGGATTTATGAAATGTACCCATTTCAATGACAACATAGAAAGTCCCTACTTCGAGAAAAAAGTGGATACCTCAATGATGCTATCAATGCAATGATGATGATACAATTGATCGCAGTCATTGCACTGTAAAAGGTTGCCTCCGACACCACACACAGAACATCCAGGAAAAATCTGCACAAAAGAAATTTTTAGCTGGGAAAGGGTAAAGAAAAGCAGACAAGAGATAATTGAAAATACTGAAGTCCTTTTAATGTTCAAAACTAAAATGGCAATGGTAGGGGGGGAAAAAGTCAAGTTAGCTTCCAAACATAATTGAGGTCTTCTAATCATCAAAATTGAACCTAACACAAATGAACTGAACTGATGAAAACTGATAAGGGTTTCTAAAGTGTCAATCCCTAGTTGAAGTAGCAAACTAACTAAATAGCTATAGTACCAAAGGAAAGCAACATTCTTTTATCAAGTAACCTATTTCATTCATTTAGAACATCGCATTTCTGGATGTAGGCTGTGCACAAAGATTCTCAGTAAGTGAATATGATACACCGTTCATAGAGGCACTCTGGATCTAGCTTCTCATAGAATATTAGGAGGGTAACTGTTGGTACATCAAGAATTTAAAAACCTTGTTCTGCTGCATGATTTCATGCTAAAGGTGCAAATCTTTAGAGTAAGAACATTCACCACATTTACAAATAGAATTTATATCTTGAAATCCTAAAAATGTTAAGATGATTTTCTGTTTTAAGCCCATCAACCTGCTGATTGTGTCCTGATGCTCTAGATATATGACCATTATTTGGTCCTCCTGATAGAGAATCGTAGCAGCCATCTCTGTACGCAGCACCAGTTCCAGATGATGAAAGCTTTCGCTTGTATGTTATGAGAACCTTGCTGCCAGCCATTTAAGCCTTCGAATAGGGAACTTGTAGCATTACTCGATAGTGACCTTGGTGTGTCATCAAAGCTGTCGAAACTCTTCTGTCTTTAAGAGCAAACGAGGAATTCTTGAGCCATGAACAGATTACAAAGCAACACCAACATGCTGCAGACACCAGGATAAATAAAATGATGCATCAAACAGAGTGGAAGAAGAAAATAAAGAAATATCACAAGGTTTCAGAGCTCTCAAAACCCAAAAGGATGAAGAAGGATATATAAGGACTGAGAGAAAGCATAGGACGAGATTCATAGACCCCAGAAAAGCTATTAACCATTATTTCTCTCGTAGAATGGGTTGGACAGAATCAATGTCAAAAACGCTTGCTAAGATTGTATTTGTTTTTGGGAATGAGCTGCCAAAAGACCTCAACCTTACTCATACTACCGCATGTTTCCTCCAGCCTCCAAGAAACGAAATCTATCGCGGATATTAGTTCAAGGATACAAGGGATTGCAACAAAATCCTCGCTCTCAAGGTTCTAAATTTCCACAAATTAACAATCAATTTCGGGGAAGAAAAGAGAGTACACCGTACTGTATTGCATTGCTCCCTACTACTCTATCATACCTGCCACATTACATCCCCGTACCTAAAATGGGCATTCAAGAAATGCAACGAACCAAGTCAACCAACACTAGCACTTCAACATCAACGCAACTCCAGAAGCATAGCAGAAAAGTTTCCAGCCTCCTCATCACTAATTAAAATGAACAGGCCATCCTTGTTCCCAGTTCCCACCATCTAGCGGAAAAACACTTGTCCACATTCCTCATTTCCCACATTCCAACTCAGATAACCAAGACGAGCTAAAGGAAACAATGTCGAATCAACAACTACAGCAAGACAACAGAACGCAAAAAAATCCCGGAGAGAACCCTAAACTCCAGCTTCTCAAAAGCGAAGCATAACGAATCAAACTCACTCAACAGCCAATCCACATAAGAAGAAGAAGAAAAAAAAAGTAAAGCAAACAACAGCCACGGCAAAAACAATGCACAGCAGATAAGGGAATGAAGCATTACAGGCATAGCAGACAAGACTCAAGAGGCGATAAGAATGAAGACTGATCGGACCACCGCCCAGCCCGGAAGCATGGAAACCACCGGAGGAGCTCCTGGAAACGGAAAGAAAATAAAGAAAGCAAGAAACCGCTGTGCGTTAGTTATTTCCCGGAATTCGTCTGGTTATTCATACATCTGAACGTGAGAAATTACTTCGGAGCTGCTGCTGCTTCTTGTTCTTATTATTCCTTGTGGGCTCTGGTTTCTGCGAGGCTGGCGGTTTTCTCTCTGTTACTTCTTTCTCCTCCTTTTTGTTTCGGTTCCCTCTTTTCCTTTCCCTGTTGCGCAGTATCGTATGCTCACTCAACAGAGGAGAAGAAAAGACGGAGAAAGGGAGAGAAAAGACAGAAGGGGAGAGAGAAAATAATTTATTTATTTGTTTGTTTTTATTTTTGTTTTCTTAGTTTATTGCTTCCTATGAGTTATTAATTCATTATTATTAGTTTTATTAAAGTGGTAATCCAATTTCAGTGTGTCAGTCTTGAATGACTGCTGTGTACTGAAATAGGAAAACTTTTCTGATGGATGGACTCAACAAACATTCTTGAAAATCGCATAAGTACCTACTCTTTTTGAGTGTCGCAGTTTCCCCTCCTTACTCTGCTTTTTCATCCCGACTTTGCGGTTTGAACTCAATGGTAGGGGTGTGTTGTGTGATGGTGGCCGGATAGATTTTGATATAAAATTGATCCTATAATTGTGACTCGTCATTTACATTTTTTGTTGGATTGGGTTGGGTGGATAGTTTTTTTTACAGTAAAATCATCTTTTATTCCAACCCCAATACGTAGAAACAAGGTTACATCCATCAAAGGAAATCAGAAATTAGATCAAGAATACTAATCCAATTATCTGGGAGAGAAGATCTAGTCAACGATCGTGCAACCCAATCGGCTCTAACATTAAGTTTACGTGCAATCGCCTTGACCTTAACTTGAGGGTTAGCTCTTAGAATTGAGATCATTGATCCAATCCAAGCCGCTCCTCTCCATGGCCAACTTCTCGGATCTTGATTTAGAGCTTTGACTAACACCTGACAGTCAGACTGGACAACACACTCAGTGCCATATTCTTCAGCTAATTTGAGAGCTTCTAACAGAGCTTTTGTTTCTGCTTCAATTGGGGTGGAACAAAGGAGGGTGTCAGCTCGCCCATCACACACTTGTCCATGTTGGTTAATGACCACAACACCATAAGCCGACGGCTGGGAGTCGCTAAGGAACGACCCATCACAGTGAATCACCAAATTGGGATTGCTTGGCAGTGGAGAAGTAAGTGAGTGGGCTCCCCTGAGCTGAGGATGAGGAGAATCAGAGATGGGGCTCCTCGGGCATGTCTTCCATTCAGTGAACTCCTTATAAGTTCTCATAATAACATTCAGATGCCAAGGGATCCTATTCTTGAACACGCATTCATACCTTGCCTTCCAAATATTCCAGCATAGGAAAATAACATGAGTTAGAGCATCAGGACTGATGGCATCCTTCAGGTAGAACAGCTAGTCAAGAAAGGCAGTGGCCTGAGCCGGGATAGGGAGGTAAGGGAAAAGATAGTTCCACGATTCTCTTGCGTGGTTGCACGAGAACAGGCAGTGCGTGAGGGACTCAATGGGACATTGACAGACTTGGCACGTTGAGTTAGGGGAGCATTTCCTATGAAAGAATCTCTCTTTTGTTGCCAGCCCATTCCTGGCACATCTCCAGATGAAAAATCTAAGCTTTGGAGGGATATCCAGGTTCCACATCCATTTCCATTTTTCAACATTCTCCTTCGTTTGAGGCACAACTGAGGACGAATGAACCGCATGATAAGCAGTCTTGACCGTGAAAATTCCTTCCTCCTTAAATCTCCATGCCCAGAAATCCTTGGAGTCAGCCTCCCCAATTGGGATTCTCAAGATAGCCTCCATTTCAGAACTAGAAACCTGCCCTTGGATCAAATCATTATTCCACTTTTTGTTCTCCGGGTCAATCCAAGAGTCGACTCTTATGTGATTCTGTGGTCCGCTTTGGATGCTAGCCTTGGGTAGGAAAGGAACCCAAGGGTCTTGATCTATCCATGTATCTTCACCTGATCCAATCACTCTCATTACTCCCAAATCCAAGACTTTCTTGGACTCGTAGAGGCTGGCCCAAATCCACGATGGTTTGCTTCCCTTTTTTCCCGACAAAAAGTTACCTCTCGGGAAGTAGAGTCCTTTAAGGAGACGACTCCAGAGGGAGTCAGGGGTGGTGAGAAGTCTCCAGGCTTGTTTTGCCAGAAGGGCAAGATTGAAATCTCTAAAGCTTCGGAACCCCAAACCACCTTCTGACTTTGGGGTACACAGAATCTCCTTTTTACACCAGTGTAAACTGTTTTCTTGCATCGATCCTGACCATAGAAAGTTTCCGAGGAGTGAATCCATCTTCTTCGTAAGGGACACCAGTAAGAGGAAGAGGCACATAATGAAAGACGGGATAGCCTGAATCACTGATTTAAGGAGGACCTCCTTCCCTCCATGAGATAGAAGCAGGCTCTTCCAGGCTTCCCCCCTCTTCTCCATCCTTTGGATGAGGAAGAAAAAGGTTTCTTTTTTTGAGTTTCCCCACTCAGTTGGGACTCCTAAATACTTTGAATGACAGTTAGAGGAGGCAAATCCAATGTGGGTAATAATGTCATTCTTCTCTTCTGTGGGGACGTTGGCACTGAAGAAGACGGAGGATTTGTTGATGTTGACCTCTTGTCCAGTGATTGAACCATAGTCTTTAATGATGTCCAAAATTCTTTCCGCCTCTTGAATATTAGCTTTCCCAAATATGACTGTGTCGTCCGCAAAAAGGCAATGAGTGAGAGTAGGGCATCTTGCATTGAGCTTAATTCCCTTGATGTGATCTTCTGCCACTGCCTTATCAACCAGGAATGTGAGAGCATTTGACATCAAGATGAAGAGAAAAGAAGATAGAGGGTCTCCCTGTCTAATGCCTCTAGACGGGTTGAATGTTTCAGACGCTTCTCCATTGAACAACACTGAGAAACTAACTGTTCGGATACAAGAGCTAACCCATCTGCACCACTTATCATCGAAACCATATCTCATAAGAAGGGTTTCCAAACACTCCCAATCCACCATGTCATAAGCCTTCTTCATAACAAGTTTTAGCATAATATCTCTCCTGTTTCCAAGTTTGTGGTTTTTGAAATGATGTAAGACTTCATGGACAATGATGATATTATCTTGAATGAGGCGACCGCCCGTGAATGTTGTCTGAAGCTCACAGACTAGAGACGGCGTCCATTTTTTCAACCGGGTAGCCATGATCTTTGAAATGATTTTATACCTGAAATTGCAGCAGCTGATGGGTCGAAATTGACCGATGCTCTCCGGATGGTCAACCTTGGGGACCATCACAATGTGTGTGTCATTCCATCCCACATGCATAGATGTTGTCTCAAAGAATTCCTTAACTTCTCTGCAGAGAGTCTCTCCAACCGTGTCCCAGTATTTCCTGTAGAATTTTCCTGAGAATCCATCCGACCCAGGGGCCTTACGAGCCCCAAGGGAAAAAACAGCTCTCCTGATCTCTTCATTGTTGACTGGTGCACAAAGGTCCTCATTCATCTCTGTTGTTACCATCGTTGGAAATCCTTGAAAGAGGTGGGTAAAAGCACAAGGAGGTCTGGCTTTGAAAAGATCTTTGAAGAACCCCACTGACAAACCTTTCAGTCTTGGCTCATCCTCAATCCAATTCCCAAACTCATTTTTGAGACGTAGTATTCTATTTTTATGTTTTCTGAGGATAGTACTAGAATGGAAAAAGGAAGTATTCTGGTCACCTTTTTGAAGCCAGTTAACTCTAGAGCATTGACTCCAGAATGCTTCCTCTTCTAGCCAAATTCTAGTCAGTTTAGTTGTAAGACTCTTCTCTTCCTCCACGTCTTCTTGCATTCTTGGAGGCTACTGGAGAAACTCAAGCCTAGCCACTATTTCATTCTCCCTAAGGACATTATTCTTATGGAAGTCTTTTGACCAGGTCTTCAGTTCTCTCTCGCATTTATTTAGTTGACTGCTAGAGAGACCACCTGGATCCCATTCTCTACAGACAATCTCCTTGCATTCCTCTTTCTCCAGCCATCTCTCGTCCACCCTAAAAGGGGTTCTTTTTCTTCTTCTGCTTCCTTGATGGTGGAGGTCAACTCTAATTGGACAGTGATCAGAATCCACCATCTTCTCATGGAACACAACCGCTTCTCCAAACTGGGCTCTCCATGATGGCGAGCATAAAACTCGATCAAGCCTCACTCTTACCAAGTTGGGTCCAGTTCGCTTATTAAACCAGGTGAAGGGGTTGCCTTTGAACCCAAGGTCGATGAGGGCATTGTCAAAAATGAACCTTTTGAAAGGCTCAACGTTCTCGTACCTAAGGGGGCATCTCCCTTCCTTTTCATAATCATAAATAGCAGCATTAAAATCACCTACTATGACCCATCTATCCTCTCTACTACTCCTAAGGGAGCTTAAGTGCTCCCAGAACTCCCTTCTACTAACAATTGTAGTTGGGGCATGAACAAAAGTACAGAAAAACTTCTCCCCCGTATCTATACTAACATCCATATAGTACTTATCTCTACTAATAACGCTAATATTAATACCCGCTTTCCACCATAACGCGAAACCCCTAGATGAGTTGACAGGCTCAACATACTCTCTATTGGGGAAAATTTTGAGACTTCTTCTATGCTCCTCCATGAATTCTTCGTTTTTACACGTTTCCATCAGAAAGACAATAGAAGGGCCTAAACGTCGTATAAGACGTTTAGCATAACTTCTTGTAAGGGATTGGCCAAATCCCCTACAGTTCCAACTTACAATACTCATGGATCTTGAGGTGGCTTATGGCGAACCACCGCTGCCCTTGTTCCACATTCTCCCTCCCCGCCTCCATCTTTCTTTGAGTGAGATTTGTTCTTCTGATGCTTCTTTTTATTTCTTTCAACCCTTCCTCCTGCAAAAACATAGCTTGTTGGGCTCAAATTAAAATTGGCCCCTTCAATAAATCCAGACCTCTCCCCTTCTGGGCTTTGGACCACCAGACCCTTCCTCTTCTTTAAATTTCGGCCTGCCACTCCCTCCAATTCCTCCTGGACGTGGTGATATAGGTTTTGGGTCTGCAGCTCGTGTTGGGCCTGGGGCTGGGAGTTGGGGATGCCAAGCCCAAGGAAAAGTTGGGAGCCCATTTGCACCCTCAAAGCCTGTTGCCTCTGCTCCTCATCTTCCTCTTCGATTCACATTCCCCTTTGTAGAGTTGCCGCCGCCGTTTCCATATCTAGGGACAGATCTCTTGCCCCCATCTTCGTTCTATACCGCCCTTTCATCCTCCCTTGCTGATCTCG